ACCATTTACCATTTACCATTTACCATCAGCATATGAAAATATATTTGAGTATATTATTTTTCAAAGTGTCAGAAATGGATAACAAAACTGCTATTTTCAATGACTACTTATTTTTGTCCAGCTTTAACATCAGTATCGATATCGGCCATATATATATATAAAATTATATATACACACACATTTGTGTTGCACAGATACCAGTATGGGGCGGGGCCTCGATTCAGCACTAAAATGGTGGTATCGTATCGGTGAGTCCCAACAAATAGGGCACCGATACCATTTTGAGAGCCAAAAGTTAATTCAACTATTGTCACACATTCCAGGTAGGCAATAAAAAGTTCTACTGGATTCACTTTTGGTCTTTTTCCTGCTTCTCAAAGGTAGGCAGCAGCTTGACAAAGCCATGATGGTGATTATTTTACGTCCAAGTAGTATGTAGTTCTTCATATATACACACACACACATATTTCAAACAAATGGTATCGGGGTCAAAATATGGCATCCGCGCAACAATATATATATATCTATCTCACGGCAAAATCCTTGGTCATCTTTACCGTCGACAGGCTGCAGCCATGTCCCGAATTCCTCGTTTTCAATGTCAATTAAGGCCTTAATAAAAAGAAAAGTTTAATGACTTAATTAAACCCCTGTGTTTAAACCAACTTTAACTCAATTTCTGACATTTGAATCGAAAAAGCTTCCTGAATGGGAAGAGAAACGTCTTCACACGGGAAACAAAGTCCAGTGGATTGTTTTTTAACTTTTTTGGAATGACCGTGACCTGGAGGACCGAGAATCTTCACCAGCATGATCGGAAACTCCAAATGTAAATTATTAACAAAATGACCTGAGAATGCTAATGAAAGAAAAAGCCTGCATCACTGCATCAGTGCGTTGTGGCATGTAGGCCTTTAGCTACGGTTTATTGTAAAGTCTGGGGGGTTCAGGTCAGGTCAGTCCAAGACCAGCTTCACTGAACCAGCTGCTTCAATAAAATTCAATAAAAATAACAAAAAATACATGGATTCTGGGAAACTTTTGGTATTAAATTAAACGCAAACCATCTGAAAAGAGGACTTTCCATCTTTTTTTTTGTAGCAAAGGTAAGAAAGACCTTTCTGATGTCTCTGGTTCCGGACCGACTTCAACAGAAAGTGATCTTTGTGATTAGCAGCTCTTTACGATGGCAGCCTCAGTCTGGTGCTTTAAAATCCTCTTAAGGCTAAAGTTAACCCTGCTCCCCTGAACAAGTCCTTTATGCGGCTTAGTGTCTCCTACTGACCCAGACAGACCATTCAGAGAATCAGGAAACATTAACAGGTGTTTTAGGGAGCTTGGAGTCTAAACACAAAAAAACCCCTAAACACTTACATACATAATAAAAATAATCAGACTCAATCAGGGAGCAGATTGATTAGTGAAAATAGATTTATTTTGTTAATTAAAATAAAACCTTTTTTTTTAAACATATACAAACAGGTTTAGAGGATATGCTAATTATCATTACTGCATTACAATCAGAGCTAAACGACCAGCCTGCTTCATCTTTACAGTTAGCACAGACATTAGCAACAGCTAATATGAACAGCTAGGAATCATTTGCGCTACACTTCCTTAGTCCACATATCGATCCCTTACTGTACAGTGGGAATGTATTATGCTGGTGTGAGGTTAAAAAAAAAACAAAAAAAAAAACAGCGCTCTGACTTAACTCTAGGTTTCTGGGTAAAACAAAATGAACTTAACATTGAAACAATCCACTGAAAGGACTCGACAATTCCAAGAAGCAACAGAACCGAACATCTGACAACATACATTTTGATAAACTGTGAAACGGTGAGAAATACGAGTTCAAATAATAACGGTGCTATAAACAATTGATATTTGCACTAATGCACTCTTGAGCTTCTTGCTAACAGAAGGATAGATCTGTCCTTTTTCAATTTATCCACTTTTTATTTTCAGCTAAACGACAGGTTTGAGTTTGAATTAGTGTCTACCAAGTCTGAGGAAATTACATCTAATCTCAAAACCCTGGACAACCAAAGACCTTTGACCTTAGAGTTTTACTTCACAGCCTCTGCCTTCAGTCCAGATTAAGTTCAAATGAAGTCATGATGTCCCGCTGCATGGTCATGTCGATACCAGACATCTAAAAGAAGAAAACCTCAGAATAAGCACGACTAAAAACATCGGAAGAAGTTTTAACGAATGAGAAACATTGAAGTCTACTTACAGCCTCTCGTCTGCGACGTTCCTGTTCTTTTTTGCGGGCCAGCTCTCTCTCTTTATCTTTAGAAGATTGTTGGTTTTGGGGCCTTGTCTCAGCTGGAGACATTAAGTGCTCGATACGTTTGGGGGGGTCCAGCCCAGCCACAGGGCAGATGCTGTCCAGCAAATCAGGATTCTCTATAATCTGCTCAGGTGGATCTGATTTACAGGAGCCTGGGAGGCTGAAAGAGAGGAGGCCTGACTTTCAGGGTCACCGAGCAATTAGCTTTTAGCTTTGAAATCATGTTACTGAAGACATGAAACAATTTAATGAATTGAAGATTTGTTCCATTATTGCTGAAAACAAAGAATAAATTGTGTAATGGGAAAAAAAAAAAATCAATCCAGACTAAAAACTTTGAAAAACTTCTTAAAATAAAGTTTTATAAGAAAATGTTTTCACTGAATAATTTTTTTTCCATTTTAATATAT